ACAGTGGGCCTCTTCCCATCTCCTTTCAGCCCCAGCACACACCTGCACAGGCACTCACAACCGCTCGTGTTAACCAAGATGCTAAACCTGCTATAGATGCTGAACTTTCCAACCCATGTATCGTGCTCCTCCCCGTTCCCTCAGAATAACCACAGCCAAAAGAGCAGCAAAAGCTGCTTGGTTAACAAATTCAAGAAAACTAAGGTGGGGGAAATGTAGAGAGAGGGGTCTTGCTCTTTTTGGTAGCTACAGGCAATAGCCCCTGAGTCCCAGCACAACAGTGGCTTGGTTTCCTACAGGATTTCATCCCTCTGGCTCCAGTGCATCAAAGCAGGTCTTCCAGACAAAGTTTTTCATCACATGGAAGCAACCATGCTCTGCTGTCGTTCAGTTAGCCCCTAGCACATCTCGCAGCCCCATGGCCACGGTCCAGGCCCTCCTCTGGCGCCAGCTGTCCCACACTGCACTGGTGGCAGCTCGCGTCCCCTCCTTGCGCATCCCGGTGGCCTGAGCCACAGCACAGCCCCCTCAGCTGCCTCGCTGCCCTACACGCAGGGATCTCGCTGGATTTAGGACCACCACCCAGGGGCAGGGTAAACCTGTCTCAAGTCCTGCTGCAACACTACAAGACATTTTGCAGCCTCAATATTCCTCCCTTTTTCCACCCAAGACCCAGCCAGAGCAGAACCGCTGCGTTCCACCTGCGCATTCCAAACCAGACGAGTCCTTGCATTAAGAAACCCCTCCATTAATCCATGCGGCCCCTTTCTGAACCCACAGAAGTGCCCGGCTCTCGCATCACAGAACCCATGCCTGAATTTGCCATGTGAGACACCAGATGTCTTGTTCAGGTGCGTGTCTACCAGCTGCTACTGCCATTGCTCCTCCTGGGTCTCTAGTGGAGGAGACAGCAGCCGGCTGCACCCACCCTCCCTCACCACCTTCCCCAGGGGAAGAGCCCAGGGCTTTTGCTTTAGGAACAACTTCACTGGCATCCCAGGGCTCTGAGCAGCCTTGCTGCCCTTCTCTGAACCTTTGCTGGTCTGCTACATCTTTTTTGAGATGAGAGGACCAGGGCCACACATAGCATCCAACAGCTGCATGTTCCATGGATTTATTTAAGGAGCACAACAACATTCTCCAGGTTACTCTCTTTTCTTCCCACTTCCCAACAATTAATTTGCTTTTTTGGCCACTGTTGAGCTCCAAGCCAACATCTTGTAAAATCTAACCCAATTCCAAGCTCTTCCCCAGACCAGATTTTAACTGGAAGAGATCAGACCTGTAGAACGAAGTGCAGTGTAAAAATTCAGTACACAACAGATATTTTTCATTTGCCACTATCAGCTGATTTTACAGGTACTCCACATAATTCAAAATTAATTGAATGAACTCAAAATGTCACCTCTCTGCTTCCTGCCCAAGCTGCCCTGTCTGTCTTCATTAGAGCTCCACAGTTCAGGCAGCCTTTCCCCCCACTGCACCCAAGGCCCGCGGTTACACGCCTCCCCACACTCCCATCCTTCTGCAGACTGCTTCCAATGAAGACAGGGCATCTTGAAACCCGCCTTAGGAACTATGAATATGAGGAGAAGGCGGTCCTCCTCTTTGACAACAAAGCTGAACACAATCCCTGAGAAAAAAAGTCTGTGCAGGCCAGGCTGGGAGAGATGATCCTTCCTACAGATGTTAGCCCCAACTACTAACAGCATCTGAGGCTTTCAAAAACGCACTTGCCTTTCTCTGCAGCTTGCTTCTTCAGCTCTCCATCACCTCCTTAACCTCATGGCAGACACAGGAACGTAACAGTGGAGTGAAACACGCCTCCTCCAGCTGTTGCACCAACAGTCCTCACTTGCCTCTCTAAATTCCTGGTGTTAGAATGAGAAGATGACAGGAGCCACCAGTCACCTCATCTTCTCCAGAGAAAATGAAGCAGAATATTTTTTTCTTGAGCCTAGATACTTTCACTGTTGGACTTCTGCAAAAGCTGCCCTGAGTGCCCACGCCACGTGGGAGAGAGGAAGGAACCATACAAGCATATCAAATAGGCAGCGGACAGGCAGAGAGCAAGCGGGCAGCCAGAAAGTACATCCTAGGCATAGACAGCAGAGAGGACGGCCAGGGAACCCAAGAGAAGTAGCCAGCTAAAGATGCACCATCATAATCACCTACTCACCCCAGTTAGAGCAGGACAAAGAGACAAGACAGAGAGGAAAGGGAGCTCCACAACCCTCAAAGTCTTCCAGGCAGCCCCACAGGAGCAGGCCTGTGTGGCTCTTCCCCCTATGCTACCACCTCAAACTGGTCCAGGAGCAACTGCTGCTCCACGCTCCGAGGACACCAGGCATTCCAGGTCTCTCCTGCTGATCCAGCCAGCCCCTATCCTCTCTTCAACAGTGAGTGGGTGTGCTGACAGGTGGAGCCGTGAGCCAATGTCACATTGCTATTCTTCCTTACTTTTCCAGCAACAAACAACCTCTCAACCCCACGCACCCTTCTGGGCCAGCTCCACATCTGACAGCTTCAGAATTAGCAGAGAGCTCTCCAGTTCACACAGCTTTGGTGCTCAGACTCTGTCAAGGCAACAGTTGGGTCCTCCAGTTCAAGCACAAAGCCAAAATGTGAAAGCCCAAGGGGAGAAACAAACAGAGGCAGAACAGTCGTAGGAAGGTCAAATGTTTCACCCAGAAACACCTTATGCGGAAACCTTTGACCAAGCTGCAATGCCATGGATGCACAGCCACAGAACGAGATGCTGGCTTTCTGGGAACCACATCTCCCAAAGCAGAGGGACATGGGGTCCAAGGAAGAGAGGGATCAGAGCCAAGACCCGCAGCTGCCAGGCTAAGCTGGCACAGTGTTCCCTGCCAGGTCCAAGCCCTGTGACCGCTCCCTTGTTTCACTCTTGCCCTGCAGGACTCTCAGCCCACACTGAAGTCTTCCTGGCTGTCCCTGCAGTGCCACAACACAAGGCCAGATGGTAACATGAAACACAGAGATATCAGTAATCTTAGATAATGTGAAGCAATTTTAGGTAATATCAGGCACGTGCGCACATGCAGATGCAGGGAGGACAAATATACCAGCTTTCTCAACTGCCACACAGCATCCTTGACATAAAAAAACCTCCTTCAGCTGTGAAACGCACAGGAGATAGAGGGAGTAAGCCTACCTACAGTCTGCCAACTTGACCTTCTCAGAGCTTGAAAAGCACGTGGGAGAGAAACACTTTTTTGTCTTGCTATTAAATCTTAAAATAACAATGTGTAGGAGACTCCTACCCTCCTGCCCTGTGCATCGAGCTAAGGGGGATGGGAGGAAGGGGGTGGGAGGGTTGGAGTCAAGTTGATTTTCCCGCTGAACGGACTCTCAACTGACCAGAGATCCCAGGAGACAAAGCACGTCTGCCTAGAATCTCTCTTCTAACTCCAGGGTGCCTGCCATTGTGTGCACAGCCTAGTTACAGTTCACTGAATTAACACAAAAAAATGAACTCATTTCCATAATGAAAAAGCCTCCACATGGCTCCAGAGTGACACAAGAAGAAAGGGCACAGCAGCTTAGGAAGATTTAAAAAAAAACAAAAAAAAAAAAACCAACACCACTTCTTGCCTCACTGAATTGCAGTTTTGAGCCCCCAAATGAACAGCTATTTTTAGCTGATCATCTGGAAAGCGCGAGGGAGCACAAAGCACCGGGGTCAGCATCACCGTCTGCAGGAAGCCAGCACGCAGCCTCCAGACAGGGTTAAACGTAGCCAGGCACCGCACATCTGCATCATCAGCACTGCACAGGGACCAGCAGCACAGGTCTATTTATAAACCAGATATGTGCAGCTGGAGCCTGCAATGAAAGACTACGGTTGCAGGCTGTCAGCCTTCAACAACATGCTGTCTAATTTAATTAAAGAGATGGCTGTGTTCACACGCACACACACATGCACACATGTCCTCTTCCCAGGGGAGTTATGAACAACCAGCTCAGTGTTTTGAAAACAATACATTTCACAAAGGTTTCTGTGCAGAACGCAAGCATCTCCAGCAAATGTGTCCTCACACAACCTTCCCATTCCCCACTCTGTAACCAAATGTGACCGACGGGCTACGGCTGCTACAGCTCGGCACCGCTCAGGTAACCACTAGCCCTTGGGTGGTTACTGGGTTTGTCTGCAGCCCTGGACATGAAAACAAAGTCACCGTAGCAGCATTAATCTGCATGGAGGGAAGAAGTCAGTTTAGTTTGCAAACAAGGTATTTTGGAGTCACATGCATCTTCTGCGCCAGGACAGACTGCTGCGCCAGCAGTTCCCATTTCGAGAGCAGAAACGCTGTTTCAGATACACAGCTCTGTCCGACAGTAAGCAGCTAGAGGGAGCATTTCCTTGCCGTGGGACTAGAAAACAAAAGCCTCTACCATCTCCTCCCTGTTCCCGCTCTCACTCCCGACACTCCCTGCTGAGCTGGACTCTCCCGCCCACGAGTCCTTGAGCCAGGGACCTAGCAGCAGCAAAGGACAGGAGGAGAGAACTGGCTGCGATCAGGCTGCCACAAGTAAAGCATTGCTGAGGCACAACCAGCAACTTGCCAACAAAACACTGGGGTATGAACAGCAGCTGCTGGCGAAGCAAACGCAGCCACAGAGGAAGCCTGGAGATCAGGTCACAGCCTGGGTGGGGGCTGCTGTCCCCTCAGCCCCTGGGGGCCAGGAGCCTTTGGCTGCATGAGGACATCATCCCACGCGGGTGAGGACATCCCATGGGTGGGGCTCCAGCAGCCATCAGATAGCCTGAAGCTCGCTCCCCACCGAGTGAGCACTAAGCTCATAGACACCTTTTGGCCTCCTCCAAACCCAAACAGAAATCACTTCTAAAAGGCTCTGCAGGAACAGGGGAAGCGTTTGGGTTCGATTCTCCTGGGCTTGTACTGAAAGCCACTGCCAAAACAGTCCCCAGCATCTTTGCTCACAACACGGAACTCATTCAAAATACAACAACAAACCTGTTCTGGAGGAAATGATGCTTCTGGAGTCCAAGTCAAGCTTCTTTACTAGAGTATCAGGGTCAATCTTCAGCCCAGAAAAGACACCAGAAGACGAGAAGTCCCAAACCTTATCCAAAAAGAAACATTAAGCAGGAGTCAGTACAAAGACCACCAGGCAACATTCATTACGAAACAAAAAACCCCAGCCCAGCACCATCCAGATGGAAGTAGGGCGTACGCTCTGGCAGCAGCATGTGGGTGCCTCTCCTGAGCACTTAGGGGTAGCGGAGGCAGCCCAGTGGCCTGCCCCCCCTCCACACTCTTCCACCCAGAAGGAAGTTTCACAAAGTCATGTTTTGGACTGTTCTCTTCCCGACAGATTTCAACACCAAGCCAGCCTCGCCTCAGTTAAGGGAATTGAGGTGTTACTCCTAGGAGAACTGTGAACAGCATCCTTAGGAAAAGCCAGATTCATTACAGGTGCATGAGTACATAACAATACGGATCAGCAATAAATGAGCAGACCTGGGGCCTAAATCAACGGGCATTAAGCAGACTCAGTGACTGCTAGCAGTTTACCAAACTTCCACCATCTAGTTCCTTCAGGCACGCAACACCCCCTCAGTCCTAAGCTTTGCCGTAGCTTCTCTGGTTTGCTTACAAGAATTTATTATTATTTCAGCCAGCAGCATTTCCCAGCACTGAAACACGAATTTATTGCGGTGTAAAACCAGCTGTACGTGGCACAGCTCGCTCCTCCCGCCTCACAGGGAAAGCTGTAGGTGCACAAATACCATTTAACGCTGCTCTGCATCCTCGCTGGGAATGGCACCGAGCTCCACCCTGAACTGCGGGTGGCTAGGTCTGAACCTCCTAAATGAGCGTGCGCTAATTGCCTGCTCATCTCCACCTGCC